TCATTATGTGTAGCATTATCATCTGCGACTTTACGCAATGCATCATGAGCAGTATGTTCTTCACTCTCAACAACTTAATTATGTGCACCTTGCTTGCTTCCAATATTCTCAGTTGATAAATGTTCTTCATCATTTACATCTCTGCTCAATCTAGCTACACTAGAATTATGCTCTTCAACTTGTTCTTGAACATGTTGATCGCCTTCAAAAGCCAATGGATCTTTGTAACAGTCGTTCCTCCTGTCATATTCTCGATGCTTACTCAAATCAAAATTGCCATCGTCCATTTCATTTGATTTGTTGACAATCATAAACAACTGTCCAATCTTCTCATCGAAATATTCCTAGAAAAAAAAATTATTAACAATGATTAATCTGAAATAAAATCAGCATAAATAAAAAGACTTCTCTATAAATTAGCTTACCTTCACTTTTACAAAAACCGCATCCACAATAGCAGTTCGCTCCTCCTTTTTAAACGTATCAAAAACTTCATTCACGATCGTGCTTCTTTCTTTTTCTGCATGCCTTTGAACCTCCGTCGTTAACCTCTACAATAAATACACAACAAAAATTCAGATATAGAAGAAAACTTCAGCTCAAAAAACATGTTGTACTTTTACAAAAACAAACCCAAAAAACTTCAGATCAAAACTTACAGAGCATATTGTATCAAGTAATTCATCGTCATCAAAGTCAGATGTAGACGAGGTAGAACGACTCTTGGTACGAGATGCTTCACCAATAAAAAGAGTTTGATTCGGTTCTTTTGGTTGATTCCAACTACGTGGTGATTCCCCAATGTCATGAGTTTGATTCGCTTCTTTTAATCGACTCTTTGTAGGTGGTGATTTACCAATGATAGGAGTTCGATTCAATTCTTTTGATCGACTCAGAGTACATGGTGATTTACCAGTTAAAGGAACTGCATTAACTACATATGAACGAATCCGACTGCACGGTAATTTCCCAATTAAAGGCATTGAATTCAATTCCTCTTCTGTAGGAATTATATCCAATACCCTAAAGTCGCGATATCTCTGTTTAATACAAAAAGGTATATTATGAGGAGAAAAAAACTAATACATCAGCATATAAACACAAATACAAAAATAAAAAAAAAGTAACTTACTTCATGAGTTTTGAACATATAATAAAGTTCGGGATATTTAGCCTCTCCCACGCATATATAACGTAACATCCTGGGGGCCTGAGGCATATCAAGGTACTCATCCTCTGCTACATACTTCTCCCGAATATCTGGGAAGCGCTCATAGAACCAAACACATAACGGATATGGAAATCCAGTAAGTTTATACGCAGTTGCATGATGTTTGTTCTGCTTGTCCAATGCATGTTTCAGTGAATAAATGAGCTTCTCATAAGCCATATTACCCGAAGGATATTCAATACAAAGCTTCTCGTCTTCAACGATAGATGCATGCTCCTCAATCACACATAACTCAGTATTTTTTCCAAACAGAATAGACTATACAATAAAAATTTCCATAAGCTTATCTGCATCATCATCACTCTCGCATACGTGTGCATGATTCACAACATTCTTTGGAATTACATTGCGAGTCATAAAACTTCGAATATCCTTCAAACTCACACCCTTGGACTTACCAAAATAGCGCTTCAGAATAGTGCTCTCTCGATTAAATGGTTTTTCAATATTATGTGTTGTGATCCGCAAACCACACATAATGTGAAAGTTTTCAAGGGTGAAGGAAACATCATGCCCAAAAATCTTGAAACTAATGGAGTCTCGATCATTCGTGAATATTCGAGAAAGACACAGACAATGAACCAACTTCATGCTGCATTTGAAATTCTCCATAGCAATAATGTATCTAAATGCACCATTATTAAGCTTATCCCTTTGTGCAGGAGTCAAGAAATTTGCAATTAAACTCTTCAAATCATGGTTCCCCTTCCAGTAACCCTTAGAGTTAAACCATTCTGTAAACTCAAAATATTTTTGTCCTGGTACTGTAGGTGGAGGCTCAGGGACATAAGGACCTGGTGCTACTACAGGTAGTCTAGGTTTTTTAGGTGCTTTGCCTTCTTTAGCTACTTTAAGATCTTTAGGTGCTTTAGGATCTTTAGGTGCTTTAGGAGCCATCTGTCCAAAAAAGTAAAAGATACAAATAATAACATCAGGACATTATCAAAAAGATCATTTAAAACTTCAACACCTAAGAAGGCTTAAGTTCGACAAGTATAAAACAAAAACTTCAGCTCTAGAGCTGAAGTTCGACAAGTATAAAACAAAAACTTCAGCTCTAGAGCTGAAGTTCACCAGTAACAAACACAAAAACTTCATCTCCTAAAGCTGGACTTCACCAGTTACAAACACAAACACCTTCAGCTCCTAAAGATGGAATTCACCAGTTACAAACACAAAAACTTCAGCTCTAGAGCTGAAGTTCGACAAGTATAAAACAAAAACTTCAGCTCTAGAGCTGAAGTTCACTAGTAACAAACACAAAAACTTCAGCTCTAGAGCTGAAGTTCACTAGTAACAAACACAAAAACTTCATCTCCTAAAGCTGGACTTCACTAATTACAAACACAAAAAACTTCAGCTCCTAAAGATGGAAGTCACCAGTTACAAACACAAAAACTTAATTCTGGTTCTCCATACAAGCACAAAACATTCAGCAAAAAAACAAAACACAAATTCAAAATAAAAAATAATGCCAAAACATGAAAAAAACTTCAGCTCCTATCTAAGGTATCATTATCATCTGTTTAACTATGAAATTTTTTAAAACTTTGAGCGTCTAATCACAGAAGAATTTATAGAATTTTCATTAACAACATAAACACTCGTTCAAAAAACCTAAAAATAGAAACGTAAAAGTAAAACTAATGAGCTTATCAAACTAAACCCTATCATAAATATATGACTATCAAACCCAAAATCAGAAATTAAATCGTAAATAAAACCCAGAAAGTTAATGCAATGTACCTATGATTAAATCGTAATGTGGGAACAACGACGACTAGCAGTTGAAAATTCAAAACAACGACGAAAACCCTTTGATTTCAGAGAAGAGCAAATCAAAAAAACGCGAATAACGGGAGAAAAAGATAGAGACAGTAGAGGACTAGCGTATACTTGGAGAGAAAGTAGTCTTTTAATAAAGAAGGAAAAAATAGTCTTTTCAAATGGCTTTTAACAAAAAAACTGATACGGGTACAAACGGAAAGACAAAGCGGCTACAGGTTAAAAAGGGCGCCCCGTGCAATTTTTGCGCTCAATTAAGCACCTGGGCCGATTTTTCTAGGCCCAATTTCAACATATAACCCAGGCCCCAGCCCAGCTTGGATACCTGGTCCGCCCATCTGGCTTCAAGGACCAGCCAAACGACGCCATAGAACTCCAAAACGACGTCGTTCTGTCTTCCATCTCCCCAGCCCCAGCCCAACCCTCGCGCTCTCATTCTCACTGATTCTCTCATTCTCACACACGCATGCTCTCACGATCTGAAATTTGAACACAATCACAGAGAAGAGCTAAAAGTTGGAAATCCAAAAAAGAAGAAGATAGATACACATAAAAGCTTCAAAAGAAAAACAGGAGAAAATTGAGTGAAAAGAGAATTTCAAAGGCTCTTCCGATTTCTGCTGCATTACTTCTACAACTTCTGGGTGTTCGAGTTTGATTTTGGATTCAGAAGTTGAAGCTGCGTTTTGTTGATTCTCTTTCTTCCGAGCTCCAATTTACTGATTCCAGCTTATTTGGCTTTCTTCTCTTCTAAATTTGATCCTTGTGCAGTTTAGGTATGTTCTCCATAAAATTATCTCAATTTTGTTTCATTATGGAATCAATGTTGTTGTTTAGTTTATCTGTTGCTATTATATGAATTTATTTGTTAGATTTAATTTCAAACAATGAGTAGAACATTAATAAAATGAATTGAAAGCCGAGTGTTGATTGAATCTGGATTTCATGAGAATTAGAGCAACTCCGTGTGTTCGTTGATTGAATCTGGACTTCATGAAGTGTGAGTAATTTTGTTCGACTAATTGGATGTTTTCTGGCGTTGAAAAGAATCCTCACTAAATGGTCAGCACCAATGAGAATCAAAAGAAATAGGATGGAAGAACATAAGCTCGGATTTGGCTAATAGTGTAAAATGGCTATATTGTGACAACTAGCTTGTAGCCATGGGGAGGATTGGATCTGTAGTTTTAAATCCAGTTTGATGTTGCATAGTAAGAAGCTGGAGTAGCTCAGTTGGTTAGAGCGTGTGGCTGTTAACCACAAGGTCGAAGGTTCGACCCCTTCCTCTAGCGAAAATTTCCTCTTGCAGAAATGCAGGGTAAGACTGCGTACAATAACCTTTGTAGTCCAGCCCTTCCCCGAATCCCGCTCATACGCGGGAGCTTAGTGCACCGGGCTGCCCTGTCCTTTTTTGATGTTGCATAGTAAACTCATGAAGAGTATTGACTCAAATGTATAGTATTAGTAATAGACCATCATGCAATCAGCAACCTAAACAATTGCATCGAATGTGGCCATTTTGTAAAACATTTGCTCTGCAGTTGGTTTTCTAAAGTATGGTTTATGAGAATCTCATGACTGTTCTAAGTTTGCATTAGTATAAATTTCATTGCGCCTTGATAAGCAACGGACCAGGGAGAACGACTTGAAAAAATTAAACATCTTATTTCCTCAAATAAATTCCATAACTCTTAAACCTTCACATTTGATCTCAAACCTTAGAAAAAATAAACAACTTGTGAACATTCGTAGTTTGCTTTAGGCGCGCTTAATAAAATTATTGTGACTATGGGTACCGTTCCCGTGACATAGTCATGATACGTAACCCCAAAATTTGAGTGCACGCTTGCGTGACTCGACCCCCCCAACTTCAAAAGTAATAATAAAAATAAACATGTCGTAAATTGGGGGTGCATTTCACGCGACACGATTCACGATGTGTATAAAATGGCCCGTTTAAAATATTTTACTTTGCATACAAATTTTAGACAAAGAAGAGGGATACAACAAGGCAAGTTTTGATAACCTGAATGGAAGGACCTTGGCCCAAGCCCAAGTTACTTCTAACGGACTGGATTTGTTTCCAAGTATAGCGGGCTGGATAAACAACAAATAAATAGACCCAAATTCGAACTCCACTCACTCTCAATTTCTCGCCCACATTACGCTGGCGCTGTCTTCCTCTATTGCCTCCTTTTCATCTCTTTGTGCCGCCAAGTCCCTCGTTCTATGAAATCAAATAGTATGTTTCTCTTTCTCTGTTTCTCGATATTTTTCTTTATACACTTTACAATAATTTTTAGCGGTAAATTACAAATCTTTATGAATTTTGGATTATAATGCCGGGTTTGTTCCCATTTTTTAACAAAGCTTATAACTACTTCCTTGTATTTTTTAAAAATAAATATTCGTCTTATTTGATTTATGTGTGATAATGGTTATACTAAATTGAGTTTGAGTAGTAATGATAAATTTTCTGAAAACTTTAAATAAATAATTTTACACGCAAAAAAAAAAAACCTTTCTTAATTGATTTTAAGTTTCATGTAGAATTGAAGAATCACTTGAAGCCTGAAACCCCTATATTTTCTTATCTGTTGTGAAAGAATAGGAGAAATGGAGGGCTATATGGAGGATTGTAGGGTGTTGCTATCTCAATTGAAGCAGCAAGATAAAGACCTAAGGCTCAAAAGAAGGTAAACCTTTTAATTTTATCTTCTGACCTTAATTTAACTCTTCGTTTTAAATATAATACAATGCTACGATCGAATTTTTTGGGATGACGATGGTGTCTAGGCCAAGCTTGCACGCACTTCAACTATGCCATCGGGTACCTGTTACCTCCCACCTGTACCAGTGTTAGGTAACTTTGTTCACCAAGACTTGGACGTATGGGAAGAAATCACCTAGTGCTTTTGCCGCCATTGTTATTTGAACCTGAGACCTCATGGTTTTCAACCCACTTCATTGACCTGGATTTAGATACTGTTAGCACATTGATGAACTTTGCCAATTAATGAGTGTAACTTTCGTTTTGTTTAATACTCCCTCTTTCTCATTTTATATAATTGTGTTTCACTTGATTTATAAGAGATTAATGGCCGTGGAAGAAACTATTCAAGTAAGAATTGAAAAATTAGTTTGATAGACAAAACATTATAAAGTATGAATAGTTTCTTAACTACTTGCGCAGCCTTTGTTCAGTTTATACAAGTGAAATAAAATTTACTTATAAAAAAAAGTTGAATAATTAAATGAATTCAATGTAAGTTTGTGTAGAAATAAGATGGTGTCAAACATTTTAGGACGTTCTAAAATGGGAAGACTGTTGTATTAAATTAGACGGAGGGTGTAATTTTCTTTGTATCAGTAACGTATGAAGTGTTTGTGGGAAATGGGAATAATCGATTTTGAGTATTATGTTAGAGATAAGAAATTCATTCTGCAGGTGGTTAATGGACTTGCATTTATCGGAACGAGAGCGAAAAAAGATGGAAAGACTCAAACCTCATGGTGATATGTGAGAACCTTCTTTTGTCTTTAAATTTTCTATATCTTTTTTGTAAAAACTCTTCTTTTCCACTTCTTGGATTATGGCTGTCTAGTTAGTAATAGCATCTCTCCCTAGAAAGGGCATGTTAGTCATTGCACTGCTTTCGTCATTGAATATTTGCAAATTGAGTGCTCAATTGAATGCACAGATATTGGGATGCAATTGTCTGTGAATTTCATTATAGTTTTCTGGACTATCCCTTTGCGAAATTTCCTTCTTCTTTTATTAGCTTTGGCTAAGTCAGGGAAGTCGTGTTAAAGAACACTTGCTGAGTGTTGTGATACTTCATTTTATATGTTTGCAGACCATAATGTAATGAATCACATTTTAATGACGGTTTATGTAGCTAATGAAATTCTGAAACTTGATATTTGTAAATGAGATGAAATATAATAAGTGTACATGGTCCTTATTATCAGCGTCCACAAATATGGATTGCATTTTTTCGGCCTTCCTGAAGATAGGGGTAAGGTCTGCGTACAGCCGTACACACTACCCTTCCCAGACCCCACTTGTGGGATTACAATGGGTTTGTTGTTGTTGTTGTTGTTGTACAGCTCATGCAAGTCCAAGGACAAAGGCACTTACAGAAATAGCCAATTGCAAGGATACTTTCCAAAAATACGCAAATATCACCCAAATAAAAAAACGCAAATATCAGAATTCTACAATCACTTATAAGTTATAATATCAATGAAAAGGCGTTCCCAAGAGTTCTGATAGAAGTGAAGTGAGTTCCGTTTCAATTTCTCTTAAATGCTGATTATTCCTTTCCGTTGAGATGCACTAAAAGAGACTTGCGGAGATATTTCTCCATATTCGTATATATTTTTCTTTGAAGTGCATTTTCCAGCCATTAACAACTTTTCTACTGATGGGGGGCATATATCATTGAACCCTGCCAGCACAACACAAGTGACCAGCACACTAAAGCTCAGGGACAATGCAATAGCAGATGGTTAACAGTCTTCGGCCCCTCTGAAAAGAACACAACAGTTACTAACCATAATACTTCACAGACAATCACCAGTAAGATGTGATTACTTATGTATCGACTATCTTCCCATGCAAAAACTACAGAATTTAAATGTGATATGCATTGCCTCATGCCTTTCAAGGATCCTTAATCCTATATTCTCTTAGTGTTGATTGTAGTATGATTTGACCCAGAAATTAGCAGTCCCCAAGGTTGATGGATTAGATGGACATAAGTGATGACACCCAATCTCTTATCCAATCCTCTCCTAATGCCCCTCCACATCGAACAACTGTTTAAACCATCGTTTCTTTCTGAGTTCCATCAGAGAGTATCAACACCATATTCATATTTGTGATCAGTGACCTCCATCTACAGAATTTTGTAGTAAGTAAAGACCATCCACAGTTTACGCTCCTTGTTGCTAAACTTTGAAATCTATTTTTCCAAGTGTGCTTGTTTAAACACAGAAATAGATCCAATACGTAGGCCACACTTTGTGATATCAGTCTCCTTGGCTCTTTTAAAGCATTGTATGTTTTTATGAAAGAGGTTTCTTATACTCTTTCTACAGCCTGATTAAAAGTATACAGTACCTTATTATGTGGGTTGCTCTTGTTTATGTATTTTGTTATCTGGATTCATATTGCATTAGCAATGGTTGCTTGTTGTTTTCCTAGTAAACTTTTTGCACTTCTAACTCCACGTCTACTCTTTGATTCTGTATCTGCAGGACTTTACCTGAATCATTGATTAGAAAAGATGATGTAAGTGTTCTTTCTAATGCTTGCTGATGTAATGACATTCTGCAAGTCGAAGTAGATAAAACATACCTCAGTTTATTTTTTTTAAAAATCCAAATGATACTGCTTATATGTAACTTCTGAAGCAAAAGAGTTTGAGTATTCATGCACTCTTTATTTTTAAAAAATCTGATTCTTTTTGTATTGAATATTATCTGCTTTTGTTAAACTAAGTTGCAAAATTTTTCCCCCCACTAAGCTGATATAGTTTCTGTGTGTCTTAATTGCAGTTATATTATGAAAATATTAGAACTTCTGTTGCAAAGGCATTTGGAGTGCATAAGGATGAAAGGACATGTCCTGATGCTCCAGCCATATTGCTCTTTAATTCAGCTGAGAATTTGGGATGCATATATTCCCTGCTTGATAAGATGAACAACAAGGGGTTATGCTGTATTGCGGAGACAGTAACTGGTGGTTCAATTACTTTTGAGAAAACCAATTGGCAAATGAGAAGGATAATAAAGCAATTTCTTCCCAAAATTCTCCATAACCATGATGATTCCAGTCAAAGTCGGATTAAAAGAATTTCTCAACTCCTCAATGATCCTCAAAACTTCCATGTTAACCATGGGGTTCTTTGTTCTACCTCCATATCCTTTCGAAGTGCTGCTATTTATATACTGGATAGACTTGAGGAGCTGTCTCTTCTAACTTTGAGTAAAATGCATAGAAATCTCAGGGATGTCACTGGATACACCCCTAAGATGCAGTCTAAACGAATAGGGTGGAATATTGAAAATTTAGTTAAACAAATCAGGAGAACATCTTTGGAAATACTATCAGACTATGAAGAAGGGGATGAGCCACCAGAACCCCTGGCCAAGGCTTTGTCCGTGGCAACCTTAATGTTAAAGCCAAAACCTGATTGTCCCTCTCAGATGGTGTTCCAAAAACTTTCACCAGATATAGAAGCATTGCAGAATGATATAGCAAAAGCAATCAGGATACTAGATGATAAAAGAAAAATAAGTTTTGCGGAGTTGGGAAATTTGCCGCTTGTACTGGATTCGAATGCTAAAGCTGCCAAAGAAAGTGTTCGTTTGCGTGTGAAAGTGAGGAAACTGTTGACTGAGTATCTTCTCGAATGCAGCGACTTGCAGTCTATACCTGAAAGTTTACTAGAAAGTCTTGCTATTATTAACACAACATCTAGGCATGCATCTAAGAAAACCTACTCAAATAAGGAGGTTGAAGAGGAAGTAGAATGTGTGCTGAATATTAGTGCTCAGATAAAACAAATTGTTTGGGATTTACTTGCTGAAAGTGATGTCAGTGAAGACTTTGCTAATGCATACATGGAGAACATCGAGGAAACTTATTTTGAAGCTGGTGATGAAGATGAGAATCTTTCTGATCATCCTCGAAATTGTAGGTCTGATTCTAATTTCTCATACAGCCAATTAGAAAGTGTCGGTGAGATAAACCAATGTGGCTCCAAGTCTTTATCCTCTCTGCTTTCACCCAAACACAAGTTGAACGTCAAACTTGAGTCAATGTATACCGATGAAGTAGATTCAGTTCATTCCAATTGGTTTGACAATTCCTCGTCATTCTTAGAAGGTGCTAAGAGTATGAGTGGAAAAGATTACCATTTTAGAAGCATGGGCGAGCACAGAGGAAAGCATTCGTGCCCATCTATGTCCACCAGAGATCAGAATAAATTTTCTACAACTTTCTTGCCTAATATAGGATCAGACAGGAACGATATGGATCAAAAAGAAGTTGCATGGCATCTAGGATGCAGGCCACCAAGATATACATCGGAAGAGTGTTCAGAAGAAAAAAATGCATCGTCTCGCAGGAACAACTTGAGTAAAAATCAGTATCTTCTTATTCAGGAAGCTTCTGATGATACTAGTATGGTTGCTTACAGTCTTGTCGGCTGTATGTTGAATAAGTTTGCTCAGTTGGATGGGCTACAGTTATCTGATGATGATGTATCATATCTCCAAGGCAATACATCAGATCCCAACAATTTTGAAGGTATGTGAACCCAGAACTCTCCTTGTGCTGCTTCTGAGTCTAAACAATTGGGTAGTCACTGAAAAAAGATAATGTCTTTTGATTGTTTTAGACAGATTCTCTGTTCCTGCCTTTGCTTTTTATATTTTCCATGTCTAAACAGCACTCCATGGGCATTTAAATTTCTAAGGCGTCACTTAAGGAACATCGTGCTTGGAAAACTCTCGTAAGGTTTAGTATACCTGCATTTTGAGTTACGGGAAGCACTATGCCTACCTAGTGAAGTGGCTGTTCTGAATATCTTATCCTGTGAAAGTTGAGATCTCAACTCTTCAATCTTGCTCTGACCAACCAGTCACACCTTTAAAGATTATCTGGGGGGATTATGCACTATATGAGCCTACTCAGATGTAGCATGAAAATTTATCTATCTTGGCTCGGCTCGGTTGAACTCTTTCTCAAAGGCAGTTAAACATGCCTGAAAATGCCTTTGGAAACACATTCTAGGGGAAAGACCTAGTGCAAGTAAAAAAGGGAAACAATTATTACGCGTAGGATTGCATGTTCTATTGATGCTTCATCTCATTGGTATGGCAATGGGTGGGTATTCTGTAGGATTGCTATTAAAAAGGTGTCCTGAATAGTACAAAATGAAATGAGATTTTAGGTTGAGCACTTTAGATTTATTTTGTTCCCTTTTTCTTTTCTTTATTCTTCTTTTGCTGACCCAAATATATTAGGATTGAGATGTTGCTGTTGTTGGGGTAGGAAATAGTGGCAGAGGAAAAGATCATAAGAAAGGAGGGCTTTTGGTGGGATTTGAACCTTGTACCTGAATGAGTAGGATAAAAAGGCAAAAAAGAAAAAGGAATTATATCCGCTGAGAGATAAAAAAGGATTCTTACATATCTTGTTGGTGATACTGCAATTTGTTCTGATTGCTGTTTTATCTTTTCGATATTCTGTTTCTTCAGGTCAATTTATCTTCCTATTTTGACTTCTGAATGCTGTCAAGAATGTGTGGGATGTCACTTATGTGATGCTTTTTAGGTGGCAGACTCTACGTTGTATGAGAAGTCAAAGAACCTGTCGAAAAGTATGTTTCAGTAAGAAAAAGGGAAGATGAACACAGAGAGGCTCTTAAAAAAAGAATAGAATGGATAGGACAGGCGCATAGTAAAATTGAGATTTAGAATAAAACAAGGCACAAATGAAAACCAAGCAGGGAGTAGAATGGTTGTTTATTATCTGAAGATAATATGCTTAAGTGAGTGAGATTGATACTGCAATGGTACGTTGATGTTGCTGAATCCTAACCTTTGTAATATCTACAAGAGAATTGCGCGTAAATTCCTCCAAGTTACTTTGCTATTGCTAAATCCCTGGACACTTGAAAGTTATGGATGGTTTTAGATAGCTTGAGTGATTGTCAGCAAAGTTTCATAATGTGAATTTGCTATTATTGTGACATGATTCAAAATCCTCTGAAGGAGCTTTGAAATATGAACCTTTACCAAAATATGGTCCCCTATACTGGTTCTCTTGCTTCCAATCCTTGAAAGTTTGAAATTTTTGTATTTTTGAAGGCTGGTGTTTACTAATTTCTTTACAGTTCTCAAGGACAGGGGAAGCTTCTCTGATGAGACCACTAACTCCTTAATGCTACATGTTCTTGAAGAGATAATTCCTTCATTTCCGGACAGGTACTTCTGAGTCTGCTAGTTTCTTTATAAATTAATGTTACATCTACACATTATATAGTGTTTTTTATTTCAACATAAATGGTAAAATATCATGAGGATGGAAGCTGCTTGAATCTGATAAGCTTATTTGTAAACAAATTTTCTACTTTTCATTACAAAAAGGAATTTCTAAATCTTATACTTCACAAGTCTTGCGATCAGAAGGCTGCTGCAGTTGAATTCTGTGGCCCGAACCTCAAATTGCTTTTATTCTAACAGAATTTTTCTTTACTTCCTATCCATCCTTAGTAAATTATAGAATATTGCCAGAACTGTAAAATGTGGCCGCCTCGCTTTAGAAGAAGTAAAGAAAGAGAAAAAAAACGTTTTCCAAAAGCAAAATTATGACCAATTAGCAAAATATGACCTGTTGAGCTCGCTTCATAAAAGTGATGTTATGGGCCTTATAGCATTATATGGTAAAAGGACTTGAGCAGTTACGGCAACTTCAGTGTAAATTGGTAAAGGACAGAGGATAATAGATAGAATTAGAACAATATTATAATAGAGGATTATCAATATCAACCTTCTGAATTGATCTTTAGTGGACATGATTCAGAATCCTCTTTAGTTTCGGCACGGGGAAAAAAGAATTTTGCCTCTCTATGCTTGCTGTAACTAGTCTTTTGGTTTCCATTAGTAGATCTGGATAGAGACAACTCTAGTTTTTTGGTCTTAGCAAGTTATGACATTATAGAAACTCCATCTGCTGTGAAACTAATAGCCGATGTGATATATTATAGTCCAAGGACCGACTATTTCTTTTTTAAAAAGTGAACTCGGTCTTCTTATTCAAGTAGTTAACATTTCCCTTCAGTAAGCATTCCTTTGGCAAAGAGGGGATTTGTGCATCCAACGATAAGATAAATGGCCTTGAATTGTCCTGAGTAAACTATTGGGGTCTCCTGTAGTGTAGTTGTAACACCCCAGACTTTAGACAGAGTCCCACATCGGCAAAAAACACAAGAGGGATGCTGTGTATATAAGTTAACAAGCCTTAGACCCTAGTGACGCGTTTTAAACCCGTGAGGGCCTAGGCCCAAAGCGGACAATATCACTAGCGGGCTGGGCTGTTACAGTAGTAAAAGGGAAGAAATAGGTTTTTCCTTATCCCAGGATTCTTGCATTATGAACTAAAAAAGAGGAACTCAAGCTCACTCCACAGATTTCTTCCTTACGGCGCGTGCTTATGATTGTTAATGAGGTGGTTGAATGGTTTCTGTATGCAGTGGTAAAGAGCATCTGAAGGAGCTGTTGGGCGTGAGGTAGCTTCTGAATCCTCGAGGCATTGATGGGAGCATAGCCCAAGGCTCAATTATATAGAAACTGACATAGATTTGGTTGGTGACGGTATCTTGCAAGGACCGTGATTCCTGCATTGTTGGAAAGAGATGCGCTTACACGTAAGTGTAGGTTTGAAACTTCTTAATCAATTGAAGTCATGTTTATGTTTGTTATATTACAACTTCTTTTTTCTCTATTTTGGTCACAGTTTTTTGGAAGTAGCTAGAAAGATTGTCAGGGCTTCACCAATTGTGCACTTGAATAGACACATTACGACTCTAGCTGGAAATCCAGTCTGATGAACATGGTGCTGATGTTGCTTACGCAATGAAGAATTTTGGCCAGAAGAGCAGAAAATTTATCCTTTTCTAGGCCTAGATATGTATGTATATGAATTCGTTTGTACTTGTTATTTGTTAACTTATATTTTTTGGTTAATATTCGTATTGGACAAGCGAGAAAATAAATTTCTGGTAATAGATATGATATATCGGCATTTCATTTAATCTAAGAGAGATGTAAACACTTGATTTCTCATGGGCGATAGATAATTACAACCTCAGTGAAATGCCAATTTGAACAACTGATGTTGGACTAAATCTTATGGAAATCAGCGTTGTGTTTTTCACTTTTGTACATGTATACGAGGTTTATGTCGTTACGGATTACTATTAGGTATAAACATGGTGAATGGTGTATTATTGTGTTTGTTTTTTTCACTAATTGAGTATACCAATCAATAAAAAATGAACTGAGTGAGTGCCATAGAGGTTTAAAGCAAGCACAAGAGAAGGAGGGGTACTTGAATTTATGGATGTAGCTCAAGAGCTTGTCCAAATTCCTTCAACTAGTGTTAGGGTTCACTAAATCACTAAACAATACGCTCTCGCTACCCGCTCGAGGTTTTTTCTGTCACGACCCTAAAATCGATCCGGTTGTGATGACGCCTATCATGAAACTAGGCCAGCCGACACAATTCTCAAATCAAACCATTATTCTATAAAAATAATGTGAGTATGCCAACTTAGTAAATAATAAAAGTAAATGAAAGCTGAGCAATAAGAAAACACATAATTTCACGTCATAACACTACAACAAATACAGTACATTGCTCAAAACAGTACAGAAAACATTTATCTCGTAAAACAGACTCAGTTTCAGTAAAACCTTTCAATTTTAAATAATCTTTCAATAGCTTCAGACGAGTGATGAAAATAGTGAGAAAAAGAATAGAAACGTAAACAGCCCCTCGGGCAAAACGTGTACCATGAACCGCCCCTCGGGCAATGTCAATAGAACCAACCCCTCGGGTTACCTCACAATCACTCGTAATTAGCCCCTTGGGCAACAACATGAAACAAAAACAGCCCCTCGGGCAATATCACATCTCTCACACTGGGTACCGCGCTCACTAGGGGTGTTCAGACTCCGGAGGGGCTCCTACAACCCAAGCGCTATAACAAGTCATCTCGCGGCATAATCAATCAGGCACTCGGTCTCACATAACAAGCCACCTCGTGGCATAATAAATCAGCCCCTCGGCCTTTCAATATCACAAATAAGTACAACATGCTGCGGCGCGCAATCCGATCCCATAATATCCTCATAACACAGGCTCTCGGCCTCACTCAGTCAAAAACCTCTCAAACCACTCAGGCAACAGTAAAACATGATGCTCATCTCAAAATATCATTTAAAGTATCAAAACGGAGTAAATACGACTGCATTATGAATTCAGTAAAACATAACATAACTGAGTACATATATTAAGTCAAAACAGTGAGGAACAATAGTAAAAAGCCCCTAATGGTCCAAACAGTTGGCACAAGGCCCAAATATGACATTCAGCCCAAAATAGAATAATAATTTCCAAACACAATAGTATCAAATAGTTTTCAATCAAATATGCGACTTAATAGTCGTACGGGACGGACCAAGTCACAATCCCCAACGGTGCACGACTCCACGCTCGTCATCTAACGTGTGCATTACCTCAAAGTAGCACAACGATGTGAAATCCGGGGTTTCATACCCCCAGGACAATATTTACAATCATTACTTACCTCAAACCGGTCCAAACTCTAGCCTGCGATGCCCTTGCCTCTCGAATCGGCCTCCAAATGCTCCAAATCTAATCAAAATCAGTATATTATCATCAATATACGCTAAAGAAACAAAGCCCAAGCGAATATAATTAAGTTAACTCAAGAATCCCGAAATTTCTCAAATCCGGCCCCACGTATCGAAATCTGACCAAAGTCTCAAAATCTGACAACCCATTCAATTACGAGACTATCCATACTAGTTTCACTCAATTCCGACTCCGAATCGGCTTTCAAATCCCATATATTCATTTTATAAAGTTCCACAATTTTTCCCCAAATTTTCACCCCAAATCTCTACTCAAATGATTTATCCAACGTTATAATCTTGTATTTTAGCCAAAATTGAGTTAGAATCACTTATCCCGATGGTTTTCTTGAAAATCCCTCAAAAAATCGCTAAAGCCCGAGCTCTTTAAGTAAAAATATGAAATAAAACCCCAAATCTCGTATTTGTAGTGTATCTTTCGGATTCTTACCACCGCTGACCGCGGAAAATCACCGCTGACCGCGCTTCTGGTGGCTGCACAAACAGGCCTTAGTATTTTGCCCATAACTTTCTTTACAGATGTTCAAATTATTATTTATTTACCTTTCTGGAAACTAGACACGAAGGGCTACAACTTTGATTTTTGAATCATCGCAAAATTCCTTGTAGATCAAAAGATATAGGCTTCTGAAGTCGGACCAACAAACTTGCAAATTCTTTCCCTGGAGTGCCTCAGCGCTCCCTACTCGACCTCAGCGAAAATCCATCGCCCTCAACAGAAAATCCCTTCCCCCACGGCGAAAATTAAACACCAAAACCACGCCCGAGTTCCTAAAATGCCCGGACTCGCCCAAAACTCACCCGAAATACACCCGAGGCCCTCGGGACCTCAACCAATTATGTCAACACATCCCATAACATCATTCAAACTTAGTCGAGCCTTCAAATCACTCAAAACAACACCAAAACACCAAATCGACCTCGGATTCAAGTCTAAGAACTTAGAAACTTCCAGATTCCACAAACAACGCCGAAACCTATCAAATCATCTCCGAATGACCTGAAATTCTGTACACACGTCCCAAATGTCACAACGAACCTACTCCAATTTCCGGAATTCCATTCCGACCTCTATACCAAGATTTCCACTGCCGACCGGAAAATGCCAAATTTTTAATTTCGCCAATTCAAGCCTAAATCTACCACGAACCTCCAAAATACATTCCGGACGCGCTCCCAAGTCCAAAATCACCTAACAGAGCTAACCAAATCATAAAAATCCAAATCCAAGATCGAATTTTGAGAAGTCAAAACTTGGTCAAACCATTCAAATTTAAAGCTTCAAGTTGAGAATTGTTCTTCCAAATCCATTCCGATTATCCCGAAAACCAAAACCGAACTCATAACGCCCATACTCTACTTGAAGCCATCTCGTGGCATAATCAATCAGGTGCTCGGACTCACATAACAAGCCACCTCGTGGCATAATAAATCAGGCCCTCAGCCTCTCAATATCACAAATCAGTACAACATACTGCGACGCGTAGGCCGATACCATAATATCCTCACAACACAGGCCCTCGGCCTCACTCAATCAAAAACCTCTCAAGCCACTTGGGCAACAGTAAAACATGATGCTCAGCTCAAAATATCATTTAAAGTATCAAAACGGAGTAAATATAGATGAGTTATGAATTCAGTAAAACATAGCATGACTGAATACAAATATTAAGTCAAAACAGTGAGGAATAATAGTAAAAAACCCCTAAGGGTCCAAACAGTTGGCATGAGGCCCAAACCCTGACATTTAGACTAAAACAGAATAATAATTTCCAAACACAATAATATCAAATAGTTTTCAATCAAATACGCGACTTAATAGTCGTACGAGACGGACCAAGTCACAATCCCTAATGGTGCACGACCCCACGCTCGTCATCTAACGTGTGCGTCACCTCAAAGTAGCACAACGATATAAAATCCGGGGTTTTATACCCTCAGGACAATATTTACAATCATTACTTACCTCAAATCGGTCCAAACTCTAGCCCGCAATGCCCTTGCCTCTCGAATCGGCCTCCAAATGCTCCAAATCTAACCAAAATCAGTATATTATCATCAATATGCTAAAGGAACAAAGCCCAAGCGAAAATAATCAAATTAACTCAAGAATCCCAAAATTGCTCATACCCGGCCCCCGGACCCATGTCTCGGAATCTAAACAAAGTCTCAAAATCTGACAACCCATTCAATTACGAGACTATCCATACTAGTTTCACTCAATTCCGACTCCGAATCGGCTTTCAAATCCCAAATATTCATTTTATGAAGTTCCACAAATTTTCCCCAAATTTTCACCCCAAATCGCTACTCAAATGATGAATCCAACGTTATAATCTTGTATTTTAGCCAAAATTGAGTAAAAATCACTTACTCCGATGGTTTTCTTGAAAATCCCTCGAAAAATCGCCAAAGCCCGAGCTCTCTAGGTCAAAATATGAAATATAACCCCAAATATCGTATTTATAGTGCACCTTTCGGATTCCTATCACCGTTGACCGCGGAAAATCACCGTTGACCATGGTAAATCACTGTTGACTGCGGTAAATCACCACTGACCGCGCTTCTGGTGGCTGCATAGATAGGTCTTAGTATTTTGGCCATAACTTTATCTACATATGTCAAAATTATTATTAATTTACCTTTCTTGAAACTAGACACGAAGGAATACAACTTTCGTTTATGAATCATCTCAAAATTCCTTGTAGATCAAAAGATATAGGCTTCCGAAGTTGAACCAACGGACCTGCAGATTCTTTCCCTGGAGTGTCTCAGCGCCCCATTTTCTGCCTCAATGCCCCATTTTCTGCCTCAGCGCTCCCTACTCCACCTCAGCGAAAATCCATCGCCCTCAGCGGAAAATCCCTTCCCCCACAGCGAAAATTAAACACCAGAACCATGCCTGAGTTCCGAAAATGCCCGAACTCACCCAAAACTCACCTGAAACACACCCGAGGCCCTCGGGACCTCAACCAAACATGCCAAAACATACCATAACATCATTCAAACTTATTCGAGCCTTCGAATCACTCAAAACAACACCAAAACACCAAATCAACCTCAGATTCAAGCCTAAGAACTTAGAAACTTCCAGATTCCACAAACAACGCCGAAACCTATCAAATCACCTCCGAATGACCTAAAATTTTGCACACACGTCCCAAATATCACAACAAACCTACTCCAATTTCCGGAATTCCATTCCGACCTCTATACCAAGATTTTCACAGCCGACCGAAAAACGCCAAATTTTCAATTTCGCAAATTCAAGCCTAAATCTACCACGAACCTCCAAAATACATTCCGGATGTGCTCCCAAGTCCATAATCACCTAACAGAGCTAAATAAATCATAAAAATCCAAATCCGAAATCAAATACTAAGAAGTCAAAACTTGGTCAAACCTTTCAAATTTAAAGCTTCAAGCTGATAATTTTTCTTCCAAATCCATTCCGATTATCCCGAAAACCAAAACCAA